CAGACAGAGGCCTGAGTAGGGAAATGGGTCTGTAAAAAACATGCAAAGACAGAGAGAGATGATGAAGACCCACAGTTCTTGGGGGGCTGTGGGTGTCTGGGTTGTGCACAGTGGAGAGGCATGAAGCCTGAGAGTGGAACAAGGGAGGGAGGGGGAAACGAGAGAGGGGTCAGATAAATGTCTATAAAATTACACCCATCACCACTGATAACAAGTACAAAAGAATCCTTTTTTACTTCTTGAGAAAGACAAAGGGAATTTTAAGTAGGATTAAGTAGTAGTAGCTTTCAGAACTCAGCAGCTTTCAGAAGCAATAATAACTACATAAATAGCTAAGTGGATGGTAGGAATTGCTTCACTTTGGAATTTGGCCAGCATATCAAAGTTAACAGTAATATCACATCTTTTTGAAAGCTTTCCTGAGATTCTAGGAGGAAAAATTATCTCAGAAAACTGCACCAAGTTATTTTTCAGAAGAGGATGCTCCTCACTGCTTGAAGACATTCTATCTCCCAAAAATTGATAAGACAGAAGCCCTACCCTGCTGGGAAGCACTTTCTTATCCATGTAAATACATTGCCAGTATTGCCCCCAACGGAAGCAAATAATTATGTTCACAGATTATCATTGCCTAATGTAAAATTTTACTCAAAATATAACCCACAAATGATACCCTAAATGCAGCAAAAAGGCCCTTGTAGATATCCCTTTTAATACAGTTCCCTAACTTTTTGACTCACTGTGGATGGTTAAACATGAACCCTGTAAGGCTGAAATTTGAAACATGCGCATCTGTTATTCATTCCGGATAAATTGGAAATACAAATAATTTTCAAACCCTGTACACCCCTATTCCAGAATATCAATAGGTTTTCCTTCTTAAGCATATTTGACTACTAACATTTTAGGATCATCTTTCCTCCCCAAAAACAGAGGTGAAAACTGACTGTTGATAGTAATGTGGGGCACAAATATCTTCTCTCAATACCTGGAAATATTCATGTGTTACCGTTTTTAAAAAATTAAGTTATAGGGTGCCTGGGTGGTTCAGTAGGGTGAGTGGCCGACTCTTGATTTTGGCTCAGGTTATGATCTCAGGTTGTGAGACAGAGCACCTGGCCCCTGCAGCAGACTCTGCACTCAGTGGGGAGCCTGCTTTTCTCTCTCTCTTCCTCCCTCTCTTCACCCCTACCCCCGCTGACAAGCTCTTTCTCTCTCTAAAACAAATAAATAAATCTTTAAAAACAAATTAAGTTAGAGCACTGCATCATTTATTTCTTTTCCACCCAGAAACAAGTTATTTCAGTATCACTCACAATGGAATTTGTCTGAAAATCTGTTTACTAATCCCATTCCCTAAGGGATTAGTGCTTGCCCTAGCACTTGGAGTAAACACCATTTTTATTGCATTAGAAATAGTTCTAACTAACAGATCTTTACGATTTTAGCAACACCCAAATAAATTGAAGGAATCTAAAGCAGATATGCCACCAAGTCTGGACTGTACCACAACCCTGGTCAGAATTTTTCATGCCTCAAATAGGAATCAGTATACACTATCTACAAATGCTAAAAGGACATCAACTTTTTTTTTAAATAGGAATTTAGAGAAACTGGTTATTCTGAAAACTAGTAAACAATTATGATTAATTAATAACTAATTTCCTACCAACTTTATATATATATAAATTCTTTATACATACACACATATATATGAAATAGAGTTGGTTACTTTGTTAACTGGTCGACTTTCTTTAATATGGTATAAATAACAATAGAATGTGAATGTGTGTACACAATCAAACAGTAACATTCAGCAATCAGAATTAAACCCAGTGTAAAATATATCTGAATGAAAACACAGAAGTTACTCCATAAACTCCCCTTTCAAATCCTTCTAAAAACTAGGTCCTCTTTATTTCCCATTATTCCTTAACTTGCACGCTTCTCCCCAGTAAGCTGGACCTCTTCCCTATCCTGCATACATCTCTAAGCCGTGTCCTACTCTGTGCCTTTGCCTTGCTGGCTGATCTTTTCTCTCCTCTTAGAAGCTCTTTTTCAAATCTGCCTTATCAAACACTCATCATCTCCATGAAATTTTGAGTTTTACAAACTGAACTTACAGTCATATATTTTCTGAAGTTCCATAACATCTATGTCTAAGTCTAGCTTTTAATTAGGATTTTTCTCCCTGTACTAATGAACAATTCTGTATCTTTTATCCCCAAGTGATCACATAATTTAAGGTAACATCTCCCTCTTAATGCCTCTCCCTAAAGCATCTATCAAGATCCTATCCCACAGCTAATTTCTTTCTCTAGTCATTCCTTCTGAATGCTATATTTATCTGAAAACATGCTCAAATGTACCCTTTCCTAAAGAAAACTTCTGTAACCCTGCTTCTTTCTCAAGATTTTCACCATATCTACTTTCTTTCTTTGCCAAACTTTTTTTTTAAAAGCATTCTTTCCCCCATATCCTCTATTCTGGCTCTATCTCAGCCCCTCACAATCTGAGTCTCTCACACTTCTCATCCCTTAGCCACACCTCTCAGCAGCACTGAGACTGCCGGTATCCCATCTTTTCTCCTGCACACTGAGACTGTTCTCCTACCATGCTCACTTGCCTTTCCTGGCTCCTCTCCTAGAATCTTCAGTCATTATCCCTTAGCTCTGCTCCAATTCCTCTGGCAATTGCATCTCTGCCCTTGCCTTTAACTTCCAGGTCCCCATTTGCCACTCCTGAGCCTATTTTTACTGCTTAGTTCTCTGTGGGGTCCCAGACCTTATGCTGCCACCTGCTGGGAAGTTCCATGGGGCTATCTCAAAAAACCAAATTCAAGTTCATCTCCTACAAATCGACCATTCCTCTGTCTTCTCTGCTCACTAATTACATCACATAGACCTAGCTGATAGGGATTTCACATTCAGAGCCTCTATAACTTACCCCCACCCCAGTGTTAGTCACCTACCACTTACTGTCAATACAACTTCCCAGGACTTCTTTCCTCTGTGTTCTGCCCTGACTTGCGCATCCTGGTCTAGGCTGTGACTGTCCATCACCAGGACTACTGGATGGGTCTCGACTGACCTTTCTACCTTCTCTCTCCTGATTTCCAGTCCTCCTTACACTTTTGCCAGAGGAAGCTGCTTGAAAAGGGTATCTAAGCAATGCCCTAGATGAAAAGTCTTCAGTAATTCTACCCTAAGGTAGGATAAAGCCCAAATCCCCATAGCTCTGAAGTTTCTAGAAACAACATGAAGAACTTACATTACATGACCCCAACCTATCTCTTTAGCCTCATGGCCCATCACTCTCCCACTCACTTATTACCCTACCCTCCCTCCCTCACGCCACCAGCCACCTTGATTGTGTTACCCCCCCCCCACACACACACCCTCCCCCCTCCCCCGCCATGGCTTGAACAAAGGAGGCTTGTCCTAGATTCTGGAATGGCTTGCCATCATGTCTTTACATGACTGACAACATCTTGCCATTCAAGTATCATCTCAAATGTCACCTCCTTGGAGAAGCATTCTGTGAATGCACAGCCTAATTGCCACCCTCCCTGCCAATACCACCTGGCCAGCCTTTCACATTTACTCCCTTGTATTTCCTGTAAGCACACCTCAGCATCTGGAAGATTCTGTTCATTTAAATGTTTCCCTATTTAGTCTCTGTCTCCTCACACTGGAGTGTAAGTCCCATGAACACAGACCTCATCTCTGTTCCAGTTCCTGGAAGGGTGCCTGGCATACAGGAAGCCTGAAGTTAGACCCCTCCACAGTGCACCACCTATTTTTCATATCCCCGTCCTTATTATCTTTAGACCTCTGCTCTAGCATTGATCATATACTACCTTTGTTGAGCAGCTATTTCCAAAGTAAGTGATTACAGGGAAAGGAGGAATCAAAATATGGGAGTGAGGGGTAGGTGAGGGAAGGGTAAATGATTGTAAAATGCTCATTCAAGTTTTATAGTATTCAGTGTAGAAGATTTATGGATCTTTGTTAAAATTATCCCTGATGTTTTATGGTTTTTGATCCCACTATAAGCAGCATTCTTTAAATTTCATTTTCCACATATGTGTTTCTATATACATATGTTTCCACATATGCATATATGTATGGATAAGATTTTTTTATTGATTTTGTATCTATGGTTTTGACAAATTGACTACTTAATTCTAATTAATCTTTAAAATTCCATAAGTGGAATAATGTACATAATCATGTTACCTGAAAATAAAAAAATGTTTCATTCTTACATTCAAAATATGTACATTTAATATCACTATTATTTTTAAGCTCAAGATATAGAAGGTAAAGCATCAAAAAGTCCTAGCTGCAAGAGCTATGAAGTATATGCAGAACAATCATAGGATATATGGTTGGATATAGTGAAAAAAAAGTGACTGTCTTATAGCAATGTATTATGATCCATCATCTTCACTACACATTAAGTTTCTAGAGACCAGTATCATTTCTTGCTTATTTGTCTATATTCCACCAAGCCTATCAAAATGTGTTGCCCATAGTAGAAACTCAATTTCTTAAAAAAAATTAAAAGATTTTATTTATTTATTTGAGAGAGAGAGAGCATATAAGCAGTGGGAAGGGGTAGAGAGAGACAAAGAAGCAGACTCCCTGTCGAGGAGGGAGCCCAATGTGGGGCTTGATCGCAGGACCCTGAGATCATGACATGAGCCAAAGGCAGATGCCTAACTGACTAACCCAACAGGTACCCCTTAATGTTTTTAAATAGAACTCAAATACCCCAGTGTTGGGGCACATTTCACATGGTCAAAAAATACATGTTGACTGTAAGAACCAGTGAGTACATACAAGTTTGTTGAATGATGACTGTATACTCAACCCTGATGAGAACTAGTAAGAGATACAAAGAAATAGAAGATACTCTGATCATTATCCGTATAGGAAAACTTCATTTCCTAGGTAATGATAAAACAAATGTACCAAGGAAAACATTTCAGCGGGTACCTGTGCATTTCTTTATATGACTGTTCCTCTTTCCATGTGATCCTAACTTGCATCCAAAATTCTCCTCCCAAAATTCTGCAAACCACACATTTCTTCGATTATTGGCAAGAGTTCGGCTTCTAAAATAGCGATCAAACCCTATTTCAGAGAAGAAAGGTATGATTTTAATATTCTTTCAAAATCAAACCCAAATACTGTCAGAGTTCTTGAATGGATATTATGCTGTGATCATTGCATGAGAAAAAAAATAAAACAAACATATTAACAAATGGGGGAGAATTAGAAGCCCAGAAATTGTTCTTCCCTTATGGTAAAAGCCAAGGCTAATCAGTGTACAATATTATCACCCTTGCTCTTCCCCATTTCGGCTCCTGGCTCTACAGATGAACCTAACAGGACAGCCTGTTGTTGGTGTCATCCTCACAACTTCCCCCTTTCCTCTACATCACAGGGACCAGCAACCTTCTGCTATACTTTTGGAACCAACTCAGACTTTTCTCATTTTTCTCTGTCTCCTAGCAGGAGCCAATGTTCTAGGTTTCTATGACTCTACCTGTGTCAAAATATCTTTTTTATATGTCCCATTTTCAGCCAATCCAATAAACTAATCAGCACTGATGTAATTTTATGGGGCCATGGGTAATGGGCCAAAGTGTCAGCCTGCTCAGGGGACAATCTCATCAAAGGGAGACTACCTGGAACTCATGCCTTACTCCAAAAGATAATGGGGAAAGAAGGAATTTCATGCTAAGATGCTAAGACCATCTGGGAGACAGACTTCCTTTCAGGGAGGTTCTACATCTTTGCTGTTTCATAACTTATCTGTGGGGTCAGCCCAACCTCATGTCTCCATTTTTTACAAAGCAAGCACTCTCCCCACATCAGTGCTGTAACCATCATCTGTGCCAGGGAAATATGCAAGGTTAGAGGGAAATATCATGGAAATAGCTAAGGCCAACTATATCTCCCTTAAAAAAAATCTAATGGGTTACTCTTTCCTAATTAAAAATGTATGCTGGGTTAAGTAGTTACTGTTTTGGTAATTCTACCATCAGAATTAAACATTCTCTCCAGAGTCATCAACAATGGGTGCATTTCGTCATATGCTGATATTCTGGTTTTGCCTTTGAGTGTTGATTCAGTTGGATTGAAACATATTCTATGGCTTTTCCTTACCATCAATTGATGCTCTTTTGGGCAAAATCGTTACAGCCCCTTCTGCAATCTTCTCCTGTTGATAAACAGGTGCTATTTTGGATCCCCAACTATCTGAGCCAATCCAGAGAAAATGACCACTTTGGTTTAATTTCTTTGCTGCTTCCAATATCCTCCTACAGGAATAAAACAAACAAATATACCATATTTAACCAGAAATACTACACTTATGAATGTTACAAGACCAATTATATCAAATTATATGCACTCAGTAGGTCTCTGTTAAACAATTAGTCACATACTAACTGCCTGAGTCTTATCATTTCTAAAAGAAACATATTGGATACTTTAACTCTGGCACCTGTTAATCAGGCTCATCCTTAGCCTCATTCATATCATTCTGTTGATCATCTTTACTTGTCTCATTTCTTTCAGTCCTCAGGTTTTACTCTATAGCCATTTCAGTCTTAGAAACTAGAAGGCTGTTGCATCTCTGCAGCAGAAGGAAGGCAGTCTATAACTGCATGAGAATGTTGCTCCTGTGAAATCTCACAAAATTTTACATTGAACATGAAATATGTGAAAAAAAAGATGTGTGTTGCAAATGTAATCCTCCATCAGAAGAAAATTAATCAGCACCTGATGTCATCTTCATTGGCAAACATAATCACCGCCCGAGCATTAGGTGTTTCTAGCAGGCGTTTGATAATTTTTTCAAATTCTCCAGGTCTTGGTTCACGTGGGATTTTCTGTGATTGAGCAATGCAAACACCACCTATTTTAAAAAGAAAGAGAGAGTGACTCAGAAAAGGCACTTATTTAATTTACAAACTTAATGAGGTTAGCTACTTTATAAAAACATATGATTCAATGCAGTCTATTGTTTTTCAAAATGTGTCATTCTCTCCTATTAAAAGTAATCACATTTGTTTGCATTATAATATGTATGAAATAAATGACACCAATTATTTAATCATACATCAGGGTTGCTGTTTTATTTTCCAAGTTTAAACAGTTTTTTTTTTGTGGCTGTCTATAATAAAAACCAAGGGCATAAAATGTGTAATGAGAATCAAGGAGTGTACAGAAGAATGGCTGTTTTGATTCATTTGACATAGTTGAAAAACAAGTGCCTGGAATAAGAGTATGTCTTATAGATGAGACCACCAGTTAGGTAAAAAGATCCTTTTCCTATTTTCATTTATTAGTAGACCTCCTTTAAGTTAATTTCATTTTACAGCTTACCATATCACAACAATATTTGTATGCATCAGCAAAATGGTATATTATGAGACAAGTGGTCTTTGAGAATGTTTGAGACACAGGCAAATCCCAAAGGTTCAAATCCTCAGTTGACATTATGTCTCTACCAAGAAAATCAGTATGACAGAAATCTCATCCCATTATCATATTAAAAAAGGAAAAGAAAAGAAAATGAGAAGAGAAAGAAAAGAAAAGAAAAGAAAAGAAAGAAAAAAAAGAAAGAAAAGAAAAGAAAAAAAGAAAGAAAAGAAAAGAAAAAAGAAAGAAAAGAAAGAAAAGAAAAGAAAAGGAAAAGAAAAGAAAAGAAAAGAAGAAAAGAAAAGAAAAGAAAAGAAAAGAAAAGAAAAGAAAAGAAAAGAAAAGAACTCTTCCTTTGGTTTCTCCTTCTAAGGCAATGAGAGACCAAAGAGAAAAATTTAGAGAAGATCTCTGCCACCTATTAGTGCTCCTCAATTTTAGTGGATTAGAAAGAGAATATATTCTAATATTAGAAGAAAAAGGAATATTAGCAATATGCTTCAGTTGCATTATGGTTTAAATAGGCTTTTTTTTTAGTCAGATGAGAATTAAACAATCATTTATAACATTGCTTCAGTAAGCAAAGGCATTTTTACTTCTAAGCAATTGCCAGTATATTCAGTCACCCAAACATTACGAGGTTCCATCACATGTTATGTATTCAGTTGGACAGCGTGAATACACAATCTAATCCAGGAGTTACTATCTGGTCTGGGAGATAGGCAGTCCAATAAATTGTCATAGAATATGTGGTACATTTTAGAATTAAGAGGATATACCTACACAATAGGAACACAGAGGAAGAAGCAACTCAAGTCCTTGAGAGAGCTATATGCAAATATGCATCCATTTAGGAACAAAAATGGGACATTTCTAGTAGAGGCCAAGGTATGAAAAAACCTTGTTTGATCATGGCCTATGGTTAAGACCAGCTTGGTGGAGTTTAGAAAGAATGGTCAGGCCCAGCTTGAGAATGACTTTGTTAGATATGCCAAATAAATCCACTAAAAGTTCTTAAGCAAGAGAATTACATGATGAGTTTTATGCTTTAGGAAGAAACCGCAGGTAGCCAAACAAAGAAGAAATGTCTGGTAGCCAGACAATGTATGTTCAGTGTGTTGTGATCAGACTTACCATGTGTGGCAATAACGTATAATAATAGTGCTAGAGTACTGCAGGTTATATCTCTGATAAGTTAGAGTATGGTCAAAGTTATCCCTACAGTAGCAATACTCTTACTAACCTCTTCAGGGGTGATAACTGCCCAAAATCCACAGACAGAGCTTGTAGATAGCTAGTCTACCAATATGCCAGCAATAGTTCTGATAATTGATTCATTCCTTCATTAAATATTTATTACATGCCCACTATCTGACAGATACTGCACAGGGGCCTGATGCAATGGTGAATATAATAGACACAGTTTCTGCCTTCGGTGTTTAGAAATGTTGTAGATGAAACAGGTTTAATGCAAAAAAAAACAAGAATAGATATATAATTAAAGATTTTGGTAAGTCCTATGAGGATGAGTAAGGGTATTTCATTTGCATTGAAGAGTGTTCAGGATAAGTCTCCCTGAAGTGGTGTTGAGTCAGAAAGAAGAGAGAATGGGTTAAGACAGCATGAGAAAGGGCAGGAATGAACCAGCAGAGCTAACGAATGAGAGGAAGAGAAACATGAGATGAAGATGAGACATAGACAGGAGCCAGATCCTGCATGGCTTATGTAGGTCCTGTGGAAGATTGGGCATAATTAAAGTGCTTAACTGCCTCATTCAATATTTCCATTTCTTCTCTCTTATAAATATGTCTCATCTGTGAATATTGCATTTCAGAGAAGAAAAATGGATGAAGGTCACTAATGCAGAGGACAACCCAGAGTGGAAAGCACAGGAGGCACTGAGGCCCATTAGGAGATCATTGGAAGAGGCAATGGAAAATGAGGTCTAAGATAATGTTACTGGCACTGAGGAGCAGATGGAGCTGTTAGAATTTGAGCTAGACTCAATCAAGCTTCACACAATTTTTTTCCCCAATTTTATTGAGGTAGGACTTACAAATAAAAATGGTATATATTTAGGCTGTGCCGATCTTGTCTAAGTGATGAGGTAATGGAAACCACTAAGCATGACACTAAGTGTTATAGTCTGTGTGATGCCACCATTAAATAAGTAAGCAACACAGGAGGGTACACAGGTATATAGAGGAGAAAAGAATGATTTTTGTTTCAGGACAGGTTGTCTTTGAAGTACTCATGGAACATCAAACTGAAGAAGCTGATCTGGAGCTAAAGAGGAAGATAGAAAATGTAATGACAGTTTTGTCAGGTGTTGATGCAGTCGGTGAATGAAGGGTTGGGAGTGAACAGATCACTCAGAAGGAATATTTAAATAGGAAAAGGGGAATGATGGAGCTCTGCAAAACTATGAGCTTTGGAAAGGAGGCTAGGAAATGCAAATGGAAAGGTGCAATCACATATTTTGAGGAGAAAACTTTTGAGACAAAGTCCAGTGGTATGTTGAAGACTGCATAATGTTTTCAAAAATCAAAAACTAAACAAAAGGAGCAAGATGGCGGAAGAGCAGGGTCCCCAAATCACCTGTCCCCACCAAATTACCTAGATAACCTTCAAACCATCCTGAAAATCTACAAATTCGGCCTGAGATGTAAAGAGAGACCAGCTGGAACGCTACAGTGAGAAGAGTCCGCGCTTCTATCAAGGTAGGAAGACGGGGAAAAAGAAATAAAGAAACAAAAGGCCTCCGAGGGGGAGGGGCCCGCGAGGAGCCGGGCTGAGGCCGGGGCGAGTGTCCCCAGGATAGGAGAGCCCCGTCCCGGAGGAGCAGGAGCTGCACCAACCTTCCCGGGCGGAAAGGGGCTCGCAGGGAGCTGGGGCAGGACCCAGGAGGGCGGGGATGCCCTCGGGCTCCCGGGGACACTAACAGACACCTGCGAGCGCAGGAGAGTGCTCCGAGCTCCCTAAGGGCTGCAGCGCGCACGGCGGGACCGACCGGAGCAGCTCGGAGGGGCTCAGGAGCGGCTCCAGGGAGGGAGCTGCAGGGCGGGAGCGCGAATCCAACAGCGCAGGCCCCGGAGCACAGGGCGCCGGGACACAGCCCAGGATCCGGCCTCCCCCTGGGACAGGCAGAGGCCGGGAGGGCCCAGGACAGCAAGGACGCTCCTGCCCCGAGCTGAGCAGATCAGCGGCCCCGCCCTGGAGCCTCCAGGCCCTGCGGACAGAGAACCGAGAGCCCCGAGCCCCGTAGTTCCTCCGGAGGCTGAATCCAGGCTTCCAGAGTTGCCATAGCAACTGCTGCTGTTCCTCCTGGGGCCCCACGGGGTAAACAACCCCCGCTGAGCCCGGCAGCAGGCAGGGGCAGAGCAGCTCCCCCAAGTGCTAACACCTGAAAATCAGCACAGCAGGCCCCTCCCCCAGAAGACCAGCTGGACGGACCAGTGATACTCCCCCGTGTTCCAATACAACTTGTTTTTGGCCACTCTGCACTGAGCAAAATGACTAGAAGGAAAACCTCACCTCAAAAGAAAAAATCAGAAACAGCCCTCTCTCCCACAGTTACAAAATCTGGATTACACTTCAATGTCAGAAAGCCAATTCAGAAGCACTATTCTACAGCTACTGGTGGCTCTAGAAAAAAGCATTAAGGACTCACGAGACTTCATGACTGCAGAATTTAGATCCAATCAGGCAGAAATTAAAAATCAATTGAATGAGATGCAATCCAAACTAGAAGTCTTAACGACGAGGGTTAACGAGGTGGAAGAACGAGTGAGTGACATAGAAGACAAGTTAATGGCAAAGAGGGAAACTGAGGAAAAAACAGACAATCAATTAAGGGAGCATGAAGACAGATTAAGGGAAATAAATGACAGTCTAAGGAAGAAAAACCTACGTTTAATTGGGGTTCCCCAGGGCGCCGAAAGGGACAGAGGGCCAGAATATGTATTTGAACAAATCCTAGCTGAAAACTTTCCCAATCTGGGAAGGGAAACAGGCATTCAGATCCAGGAAATAGAGAGATCCCCCCCTAAAATCAATAAAAACCGTTCAACACCTCGACATCTAATAGTGAAGCTTGCAAATTCCAAAGATAAAGAGAAGATCCTTAAAGCAGCAAGAGACAAGAAGTCCCTGACTTTCAAGGGGAGGAATATTAGGGTAACAGCAGACCTCTCCACAGAGACCTGGCAGGCCAGAAAGGGCTGGCAGGATATATTCAGGGTCCTAAATGAGAAGAACATGCAACCAAGAATACTTTATCCAGCAAGGCTCTCATTCAAAATGGAAGGAGAGATAAAGAGCTTCCAAGACAGGCAGGAACTGAAAGAATATGTGACCTCCAAACCAGCTCTGCAAGAAATTTTAAGGGGGACTCTTAAAACTCCCCTTTAAGAAGAAGTTCAGTGGAACAATCCACAAAAACAAGGACTAAATAGATATCATGATGACACTAAACTCATATCTGTCAATAGTAAC